CAGGGTTCGTAAAAGCGTTTGTGCCTACACTGCGGTGTCCCGCTGTTTTCAGACGAAGGCTGGGCTCATTTCTTGGTGTGTTTAAATCCCAGTTCTGAGCCGTGCTTCTCCCTTGATTCGCGTCCAGCGTACGTCAGCGTAACCCCCACAGCCGGCGGTTCTGCGCGTCCTGTCTTGCCTGATCTTTGGCCACAAATTATGAAATGTGCTCGCTGGCCTCGGGCAACGGAGGGTTTCCAGTTTTTCTTACTTCAAAGGTGCTGTAGGGATTGCGCAGACAGGCAAAAGTCACTCCTCGTGGAACGGAAAACGAAAAGACTCTGGTTCTAAAACTTCTGTTTAAACTTTTTCAAAGCTATTTCTACTTCCCCTCCTAGCCTTTGGCTTGCGTGCTGACAAGGAACAGGCTTACTAGAGCAGATCGCGTTGAGTAAAGCTTGAAATTCAAAGAAGTGGTGATGTTGACCTCATTCTCATATCGTTTGGGGTTTTTTTAGGAAATCAGTCACGATACGAAGAAATTCCGGTTTGGGCTTCCTTCAGCCGATCACGTATTAGGATTACCTGTAGGTAAGCACTGAAAATGCTTCATTACACGCAGTTCTGGTTTTGGGATTCATAACTGTACTCGTAGTTCTTGGGAATTTAATGCTCAGCAAAGCGAGGAGTTGAAAGCTGAGCCTGAGTGCTGCTCTGTCAGAGAGGAAGGTCAGATTTCCCAAGAGCTGTATTTCTGACCCTCTGTGCGTGCTTTGTTCTGCTCGTGCTCAGTTGCGTGGTGCGGTTTAGAGCAGGAGTGGTGAGACTGAACTGGGTCTGATGAAATACACCGCCAGGCAGGGTATAAGCTGAACGGTGTCTGTCAAAGCTTTTTCATATTTCTTACTGGCACTTGACTTCCATCTGGTGCCCTCGGTTTATTGTGAACTGCCCTCGTGCTTTTGACACATTTGTAGTTGAGACAGCACAGCTCTTCTGCCTGGGAAACTTGTAACTGTTCTGTGCAGAACAAAGGGGAAAATCCAGCTGGTTTATACAGCAGATGCTGCAATACTCAGCGCCTTTTCTGTGGGTGCCACTTACCTTTGATTTACATACATATGTACAACCCTGTCGTGCTTTCTGTAGCATGCAGTTCATTTCAGGCTAGGATTGGCACAGTCGTCTTTCCGCTACCCTGCAAAACTGATGGCATTGAACCTTGGACCTTGAATTAAGGGTAATCTGTGCAGGGGAAGGCCTCCCTTTCCAATCTGCAGATGTGGCAGATGTATCCCTGTTTGGGCTGTACTGTGTTTTGCAGTTTCCCTTGCTGTTTGGCAAGTGTCAGGGTCTTTCCCATCCCGTGCTGTGAGCACATCCTTCTTGCTTGCTGCCTGCCAAGGGCAGCAGTCTTTCTGCAAATTCTCCTCTGGCTTCTCTGGGAAAATGTAGTTCAGCTGTCCACACTAACTAGACAAATGATAAACTAAGTGAGGTGTGCCCTGCAGTGCTTGTGTTTATCCAGACTTTATTCTTAAGAATTTAGGAATAAAATCCTGAAACTGCATGGGCCAGACTACTGGGAGATTCCTGCCTTATGCTTTTTATCAGGAACATTTGCTAAGAATAGTGTTTTCTGCCAGCGCTGCCCCTGCTTTTTGTTTTTCCATGCAGCTCTCTAGGTTAGTGCTTCCTGGCTGAGGAGACTACCCTTGGCAAGGAGTTTCAGCTCTTTTAATCAGCAGCAAGAAACAGGTGCCTTGTAGAGTCGGCCTCTTGGCACTGGGCTGGGCAAAGAGCTCTCTGTGGACAGCAGTGTCCAATGCTGTGGAAGCCACAGGAGTTAGGGAGAAGGACAGTGGCACAGGGTTTTGTTCTTGATGTCTTGGTGCAGAATCTCTGGGAGATTGCTGCTACTGCAATGTACTTCGTTCTTTCTTTGTCTGTGTGAGCTGGTGCATCCTTGCTTTCCCTTCATTAATGAACATGAGGAGAGCAAAACCCAAAATACAGAGAGCACCTGAGAAGGAGTAACCAACTTTTTATATCACTATTTTACTGTAAATTTTCTGCTTTGCTAGTATCTTATCCTTGATTCTGTAACGTACTGGCACTCCTCAGTTACCCCATGCTCCAGAAATTCAATGCTTAAAAACTAGATGTTTTATATGGCATTTATAGGGTAAGGATTTTCTCTATCGCTGTTTGTGTTTAGCAGGTCACAATATCTACTTTTTTTTTTGTGTGTTGTCCTCCATAAGGTTTGAAACCAGGGATGGGAAAAATAAATAATCAGGTTGTAATTACTTTTCTCTAGGCCAACACATATACCTTTCCGCAAAGATCGATGGTAATCTGGTGATTTGAGCCTACACCCCAGTTTCCAGCGATGAGACAAAAGGTTATGTTGATTTAATTATAAAGGTAAATTTTGGTTTCCTTTAATATGGATGAAGTGGTAACCAGAAGGAAGGGGAGCACTTCACTTCAGTGCACATAGACTTTAGTTCGATCTCCTTTTGGATAGGATGACTGCGTGGCAAACAGTTCACTTCATGTTATCCTTAACAGTGAGTTCTCTCCTGGGGATCTGCTGTACGTCACAGAGAGGTGGCAGGGGTAGGGTCTCTGGCAGTACTGCACGAGCTTCCCCCTTGCCTTTTGTGTGGCAGTGCACGAACAGCAATCGCACTTCCGCAGGGTGCCGGTGCTGCTGCCGACACTGCTAGTAGCTGTCAGTAGAAAACAAGTCACTAAGAACTGCTTGTTTTGGTGATGCTACAGAGATTGTGAAGCATCAGAACTTGTTAATGTGTTTACTGATTAAGAAAATGGAATACAGAAACAAGGGAAACCCTTTAAGCTAGGGAATGCAGGATGACCTTGATGCCAAGACTTCTGGATTTTCTGATCCTTTTCTATGAGAGTTTGTCCTTAGGCAAAAACTGGGGCCTTTTTCGTGTGCTGTGTTCTTACAAGTCTGCAAGTTGTTATTAACTGCTCAATACTTATGATGTGCTTTGAACGGGGAAAAAGCTGTCATGAACCTGAGGTCTCTTGAAAAGTCTTAAAAAGAAAAGATACAGCGATGTTATTTTCAGAAGGAGCGATGTTTGATATCATATAAATTATTGTTTTTACAGGTCTACCACAAAAATGTGAATCCCAAGTTTCCAGAAGGTGGGAAGATGTCCCAGTACCTAGATGAGATGAAGATTGGAGATACTATTGATTTCAGAGGGCCAAACGGGCTCCTTGTCTATAAGGGGGCAGGTACTGTGACATGAAATTCTTCCTGGAGAGGGTGGTGAGGCACTGGGACAGGTTGCCCAGAGAAGCTGTGGATGCCCCATCCCTGGAAGTGTCCAAGGCCAGCCTGGATGAGGCTTGGAGCAACCTGGTCTAGTGGAAGGTGTCCCTGCCCATGGCAGGGGGGTTGGAACTGGATGGTCTTTAAGGCCCCTTCCAACCCAAACCATTCTGTGATTCTGTGAAGGTGGGAGAGCAGAGGGGAGGCACTTGTGTTGGTTATTTTCAGAGGCGTTCCACAAAACTTGACAACTTTGTAGAGAATCTTCTGTTACAAAGTGAAAAAGAGAAAATCCACCTTTCCTGGTCTTGACCAAGAGCCCATCAGAGTTAATACGATGGGAAAAAGTACTTTGTGTTTACTTTCTGTGAGGATTAGCTGGTTATTTTCTTGCTCCCGAGACCGTACGATTAAATCTGACAAATCGCTATTGCATTATGTTACTGAGAAGGCTGCACTGGACATAACACCTCAGCTATATGTACGGAGAGTGGTGTTCCAGACGCTTCTAAAACAAGGGAGGTTGTGGCCTAGCATGCCCCATGAGAACCTCAGCGTTGTTACTGAATAACCCGCTGACGGAGTGCCAGCTCCATTTCATGCTGAAACCAGGTCTGAGCTGACTGGGAGGACATGAGTTCAGAGAAGGGATCCTCTCTCAAGATGCAAGTGAAAGATTTTGTGCTGATCGTGACCGAGAGGGACTGTGTGCTTCACGCTTACTTCAGGGGGAAAAGTGCTCAGGGCTTCTCTGGATCACGACCTTTTATGACGCACCTGTCATACCCTCAGAGGAGACGAGTGATGCGTGCATTACAAACGTTCCTTCCTGCTCTGCTTTGGCCGCTGTAAAGAGCAGTAGCGGGGCAAGCTTGTCACGAGTCACACATCTCTTGAGATCACAGTATAGGTGCTTTTCCTACAGAATACTTCATATGGGCTTTTCATTTGGCCTGGTCCTTGGCGATTAATTCGATTACCAACTGGGTTTGTGGTGGTGTGAAGCAGTGGTGCACGCTGCTGTAGAGCAGAAATCACCAAGGTCGTCTCATCGCAGCGTACTGGCAGGCACTCAGCTAGCCGACTGAGTGTCACGGGCATCTCGTTAGCTGGGAGTGAATTCTGGTGATAAAGCACTTGGTAGCAGTGTGCAAGGCTCCAACATCCCCAATTCTCATTGGCAGGGGGTCTTGCTTGATGCTGCTTAAATTACAGCTCCATTGAAAGGGGACACACACAAATGGCGAGATCCATGGTGCAGGTGAGGGTGGTGGACGCCCTAAGCAACCCGTTTCTGCTTCGCAGGGGCTGTGGTTACCTTGAGCTACCGTGGTCACGGTTGCCGAGTTGTGTTCTAGGCAGCGATGTGGGAATCCTTGAGTTTATTATAGCAATGCTGGGTAGCAGGGAAGGAGCAAATCAGTTGTTCAGAGCTAGGGTTGGAGTTCACAGAGACAGAGGTTTGTGCTCTTTGTCTAAATGCTGAGTCCATTTAGCATTTCCAGATATGTCCCAAGTAATTGGTAGGTTATAGTACTTTATTCCCATGGATTTTGTATCCATGTTTGTTTGGGTGTTAATGCACCCATAGGTTTTGACTATTTCTTCTAGGTACCTTTCTTATCAAGCCTCATAAGAAGTCTGAAGCAGAGAAGAAGTTTGCAAAGCATCTTGGGATGATAGCTGGAGGAACAGGTAAAACTACTTATTGGATGGAACGCCTAGAGAATGATGACATCATTGTGGATGAATGTGAGGAGCATCAAACACTTCAATAGCAGGGCACTTACACCTGTATTTCTTTCCATGAGTGTTTTGCAACATGGAGGCTCTCTGGTGACTTGAGCTCAGTCCTGGAAGCTCACAGCTTCAGAGTTTTAATCTTGATTTACCGTGTGACCTCAGAGAAGTCACTTCATCTCTCTGAGCTTCAGGCTTATTAACAAAAAATATTTCAGGAGAGTGTCTTGGGGGTAAAATTACTGTGTGTGATAGAGAACGCTGAAGAGGAAAGCCCAGATACAAGTATTGTGGTTTAGTTTTTGTTCTGAAACAGTTTGTAATAACAGAACCCCCTGATGCCTGCATTTGGCATGGGTTAGAAATTGAGAGGTACGTAGCCCTGTACAAACCAAGCTCCCACTGAAGACTGGAGGAAGGCAGCATTCACGCTGAAAGGCAGCCTTATGTGGGTAGAATGAAATACCTGTTTTTTAACCACTTTGTTTTTTTCACAGGAATAACTCCTATGCTGCAGTTGATTCGTCGCATCACAAATGACCCTAAGGACTCCACAAAATGTTACCTTCTTTTTGCTAATCAGGTCAGTATACTGACTCGTCTGCTTGTCCTTCTTCAATGCCTACTCTTTTTTTTACTGGCCTCTGACATTCTAAACTATGGGACATGGGCCGCTGGAGAAGATACTGTTTTGCATATTTCATATTCTTCCAGTGTCTTTGGGTTTGTACTTTCACCCAACTATTTAGGATAAAATATTACCTGAGATGGCATATTTAAGTGATCGGTATAGGGAGGAGCAGGAAATGGTTATTATGGAATCATAGAGTTTCTTAGTTGGAAAAGACCTTTAAGACCATCCAGTCCAGCTGTTAACCCAGCACTGCCAAGTCCACCAATCGCTTGTGTCCCTAAGCACCTCATCCACACAAATACACCCAGGGATGGTGACTCAGCCACTTTCCTGGGCAGCCCTTTTCAGTGCTTGACAACCCCTTCAGTGGAGAAATTTTCCCTAATATCCAACCTAAACCTCCCATGGTGCACTTTGAAGCCATTTCCTCTCCTCCTGTCACTTGTCACTGGGGAGAAGAGACCAACCCCCACCTCTCTGCCCCCTCCTTTCGGGCAGTTGTAGAGAGCAATAAGGTCTCCCCTGAGCCTCCTCCAGGCTGAACCCCCCCAGCTCCCTCAGCTGCTCCTCACAGGACTTGTGCTCCAGCCCCTTCCCAGCTCCGTTCCCTTCTCTGGACACACTCCAGCCCCTCAGTGTCTGTCTTGTAGTGAAGAGCCCAGAACTGAACGCAGGATTCAAGGTGCAGCCTCACCAGTGCCCAATCCAGGGGGACAATCCCTGCCCTGGTCCTTCTTTTGAAGAATGCCTTGGAGATGGTGCCTCGTAGTTTCACTTGTACTCCCTAAATCCTGTATTAGGGATTAAACAGTGTGAACAGATCCTTATCTTTCTACTCATGTCTTCACTGATTTCAAAGAAACAGGGTTTTGCTCCGTTAATCTGTTTCTGCAGTTGACCTTTACCATGTCGGTTCAGGGCCGAATTTGCCAGGGTCAGAGACAAATCCAGCTAATTGTGATTAAGCCTGGATTGAAAAGTTGTTCCAATTGCCATCTTTAGGACAGTGTTTAGGTGGCTAGTAAATCTTGCACTTTGTTCTTCTGAACCTGAATTTATGTAATGTCTTCTCGTCTACGTGGGTTTGAACAAAAAGCCACGCCCAGCCCCTCAGAACCATAACACCCATTTTGAAAAGTGTTCTGAACCTGGTGGGCCTTAGAAAGTGTGAGCTAATAACGAACTGCTGCCGGGTCACGCGTCACTCAGTGGATCTCCTGATGTATTTCAGGATGTGCCAGTTTTTTGGACACAGCAGCAAAAGTTTCAGCCCTGCTTTGGGCAGTCTACCCAATCAGGTTGTGCATTCTGTTGGCATTAAATGGCTTAAACGCCTGCAAGTGCTTGTTGTCCACATGCTGCTTGTCACTACCAAAGGCAGCCCTTAGGTTTGAGCTCAGTGGCACGTTGAACCCTCTCTTTGCTTGTGGTGATGGTGGATTTTCAGCTACTTTGTGAGTACAACATGCAGTTTAAAAAGGTTTCAGACCATGCAGGGATTCAAATTTTAACAGTCTTTGCTTCAGATTGGAAGTACAGTTCTGGCTTTGTCACTGCAGACATGATTAAATCCCACCTCCCTTCCCCTGGCAGCGAGACGCTCGTTCTCATGTGTGGGCCACCACCTATGATTCAGTTGGCGTGTCAGCCCAGCCTGGACAAGCTGGGCTATCCCAAGAGCAGTACGTTTTCCTACTGACACCGATGGCGTCTGATGCCTTTTTGTAAGTACGTCCATACCGCGTGCGTTCCCGACGGGAACAACTGGTCTGTCACTCTGCAGTATTTCTTATTTTTTGTGTTGGTTTAAGTGCTTAATGTGCTTTCTGGGTTTGCAACTTAAGTGCCTTTGCGTGTTTTCGTACTAAGAATCTGAGAGATCATCTTGAATTGTGTGGAAGTAGCTTAGTCTAACCTCGTAGGTTCGTATGAAATGGTGATTCTGAGGAAAAAAACCTGTGTACCTGTCCTACCTCTCCAATTAAACCCACTTGTTTGTTAATATGGGATTGGAGAGGTAGGACAGGTAAACCCACTTGTTTGTTAATATGGGTATGGAATTTGGGAGAGGGTTGTGAAACTGGACCAGGATTGTTTGCCTGTGCTCTGTAGGCGATGCACTTCGTGCATCCTGGGACAAAGAACAGCCTGTTCCAGTCCCCGGTAAAGGGCTAAGAAAGAAATCACAGTATGCTATTGGAAAAGTGAACAGAAGGCGGGGAGTGTGCAAGTTGCTGCTTGCGGTAACAGGTGCTCTCGGTGGTGTGAAGTTTGTTCCGGAGCATTACGTAACTTCGTGCTGTCTTCTAACAGCCTTGGCTAAGCACTCGCTGCCAGCTACACAGGGAGGTTCTGGGCTGCATACACAGGCGTAACCCTCCAGTGATGCCACATCATTTGAATGTCACTCCTGAAGTGTAGTGCCTGCTCCTTTGACAGCTGCAGCACTTTCCTTTGCTTGTGAGAAAACACGGTGTCTTACTTTCTGTTGTAAGCTATGCCAGGTCGACCTTCAGCTCAGCTAAAGCCTCATCTTAGCATTTTTACCACCCAGCATTCAACTGTTAGTCTGAAGTACTGCATGTTCGTTTCCAGGAACTAGTTTATACTACGTTTGCGTTAGTCTGGCAAATTCCTGAGCCAGGAGACTTGTCTCTTCATATGCCAACCAGTACCTTTACTAATATTTTTATTCATCTGAGGCAAAACTCAAGAAATCTACTAATCAAAAATTGATACAGGGGCTTTGTACTTCGTCAGGTACATCTGTAGTGCTAACGCAAAGACAGGCACAGGGATTGAGTGTGATTCTGACCCTGATCAGAGATCAGCCACACGTATTTGTGTTAGAATCATTCCACAGGTGGCAAGAGATTGAGGAACATCCAGAATTTATTCATAACAGTCAAAAAATAAGCATTTATACCTGTTATGCTAATTAGGATGTCTTACTATATATATTTAAAAAATCAGTAATTTTTTAGATTGACTATTCACAGCCAAGCTGCACAACACCACGCTGAGTTATAAATACATCATCAAAAGAAAGCTGAAAATGTGCTGGGAACACCCCAGTGGTAGTAAGGCTGCCTCTGCTGAGCAGCTTACCCTGCTTCTAGTACTGTACTAAGTCTGCTGGCTAATTAACCTGACAGGATTTCAACTGCCCGTAGTACACGGTCTGGTCACTAGTGTTGCTTGCACTGCCAGATTAGAGATGTACTTAACTGGTACATGTTATACCTTTTATTAAAGGTATTTTTATTTTGCCGATGTGCAGACTGACTTCTCATTCCTTTGGCTTTCCATTACCGTTTCATTGCTCAGTGAGTGGAAAAAATTTGCCTTGGTTTTACCATTTTGGACAATAAAATCATGTGTTTGACTTTGAAAGTCTGACCATACAGTGCAGGGTCCTAGCATAGGCCCTGTAATTGCTGCTGTGAAGGAGACAGGCTGGTACCCTCAAACAGCTCCTCAATAAGTGGTGAGAGGCTGTATTTCCCTCTGTGAGCGTGCTACAGTCCTGCCTGGCTCAGCAGGACAGCAACAGCTCTATTCTGTCAGGTGTTCTAAAGAAACAAAACCTGGGTTTATGATGGCACTCCATAGTCACGTTTTACATGTCACAGTGACATTTGTCTCCTGGTGCTGAATGAAGTAGTCTGTGAAAATGTAGCTGGAATGAAAACAGAACTGAAAGGGAATAGCAGAGTTGCTTACAACATCACCAGTTCTCATGCAAACGCTACAGAAGTGTTTCTACTGCCCTCTCCACTCCTCAGGGCTGTGCAGCCGTATGTTTAATTAGGTGTACTGCAGGGAAAAAAGGGCTTATTGCCATTCCTGTCTTCCTGAGAGCCTGTACGGCTTCAGACCAGCCAGGTACGGGGCTCAGAAGGCTGACGGGCATCCTGTGGCTTGTACATGTGCCTCAGTACTGGTCAGTGTACAGACAGAGCCCAGCCCACAGCTCCAGTTAGAGCGCTGTCATTTGGAACTGAACAGTGGATCTGCTGGAAGTTGTGTTGCGCTTACCCTGCGGAGCACAGCCAGCACCGTTCGTAACGTTACACTCGCGGTAGGTAAGCGTTGGGACTCCTCCTCGACCATGACCACCTTAGTGCACATGTAAAAATCACTTCAGATGAAGCACCAGCTTCCGAGTCCCTCAGTTTTTCTGGTAGTCCCCAAGTTACATTTCCTCCTGCAGTTCAGCACTTTCTGAGTTAGGCAAGGCCTGTGAACATGCCATCTGGATTGTCATCCTCCTGCTGCAAGCAAGAACTGTTATGTTCCATTCTTCCCATACTACCCTGCACTTTGAGAAAAAGAGGGCAGGATGTGCTAATGAAAGGGATCAGAGACGGAAAGAGCCTTTGGCCAGACTGCAGTAGCAGCTAGTCAGCCGTACCGCGGCACTCAACAGCATCCACCTGGACAGATATTAACGATTCCTGCATTACAAATTAATTATAAAAATAAAAAACTACGAAAGATCTTTGATGTAACAGTACATAAACATACCACGTAAAGACAATTGAATGGAAGGGTAAAACGTGCTGCCAGTCTTGGCTTTCCAGACCCTGGGTGTGAGTATCGCTTCTCTCCCGACACCTATTCCACGTTATGTAATACGGAAAACATCGCGGGGAGAGTTACCTGCAGCGTGCTGCTACACTGACAACGTTAAATGCTACGTGGGGAGCCTCCGGGGCAGAATGAGGTAGAGCTGCTCTGCACCACAGCAGGAGCTTCTCCTGGCCACCCTCTGGACAGGCATGAGGTATTAGTGTTCTTGGTCATGTTGAAACATCATCTCCAGTCTTCAAAGGTAGGGGTTAAAAATCTGCTGTCATTCAGCATCTCATCTTGGCTTAGCATCGTCTGAAAAGACAAGATGTGAACGACTCAGCATGTTCAGATAGAGCCGTAGTTCAGTAAATCCAGCTGTAATGAGATCACGTTCACAGCAGAGGGGGTTAGAGCAAACAGTTGAAAGGCATGTCCTGAACACGGCTTTCTATAAACAGTTATTTGCTTGACAGTATGCTCAGAGATTGTGCCTATGGCATATGACTCAACTTTGGTCTCTAATTCTTCATCACACCTTTCAGTCAGCATTTTTTGTCTTTTAATTAGCTGCTATGGACTCAGGAATTAATGCAGTGATTTTTGTTTGTTTGTTTTCCATAGAGTTTTAGCTCCAGTAAACTTTCAGGTCTCTGTAAGCTCAAGCAGATTTTCAGTACCTCTTTTGCTAGACTTTACTGTACCAGAGGCATTCGGTGGTGGTTACTTGCAAAACCTTTGAGGAATTGTTTCCTTTTGAGGGGATGAATATCTGTCCTTGGCTCAGCGATAGCAGAGTTCATGAAAACGTAACACGGGCCTAGATGCAACTTAATTCCTGGTGTGATTTCAAACAAGGCTTTTTGGACTGAATGCACAACCAGGCTCCGAAGAGGTATTCAGCAGGAAACCCACTTACTCTCTAACTGCCCCCAGCAATGACCAAATTTTTACCAAATTCTAGCAGAATACATTTGTGACTATAAAGCAAGAGTGAAAATAGTACGTACCGTAAGGCGGTTTATGTCTTGAGAAAGAGCCCCTATTTGCATTACTGTTCCTTCTGAATGTTCCATCTGCAAAAGTATCCAGAACCGGTTCAAATCAGACCGTACGTGCAGCGTTCCTCACGCTACATGCATCTCTGGGAGGTGTCTGTGCCTGGACAAATGACGTTGTGGTACATTCACAAGCTCAGATTTCTGCACGTTAACAAAAACGCCTCCACGCTGTAAGGTGCGTGCAAATGCGTTTAACGAGAGAAGAGTGAATCCTGAGTGAGAAAGATGGATCCTGTGAAACTTCAGCTGTAATTTACACAAGAGGAGAAAAAGCTTAACTGATATTAGCAGTGCAGGGGAGTATTTTCCAGGCGGTGTATCACTTACTGTATTTCTGGTGGTCGTCTTCCACAGGCAAGCTGTAGGAGTCCTTCCTACACCGCCCTACCTGTTCTTACATCAAGGGTTACGGCTTCCAGGGCACTGAGCTGTCACACCTGACTGAAGGACTGTGCTCCCAGGGAAAAATCCAGTACTTTTGTAATGCTTGAACAAGGGCATAGCGTGAGCTGTCGGCTCACAGTTACTGTGTTCCCCTGCACCTAACTGTGCAAGGGGACAGCGAGGCAGAATAACAGTCCTGTCTTTGCTGGGTGTGCAGTGAAAAAGGCAACGGTTAGATAACGAACACATGTGAGGTGTTAGATGCAGGAGACCATGCAAATGAAAAACCTGCTCTCACAGTTAGTCTCTTCGATTTTGTGACCACTCTTATTAGGCTTAAAATGCATTATCTGGCTTAAGGTCACTGGAGATAGGACGGTTTACCTCTGGCTCGCTCTTGTGTGTTGCCAAAGTTCACACAAGCCTCCAGATGCTCCATTTTTCAGGGTTTACATCCCTTTACACAACAGCAAAGTCGAATGAAATTTGATGGGTTTTAGTCTTCATCATCTGTCTGCATGATGCCTAGACAGAGTTTCATTCACAAGTTCACTACTACATAACCAAAGTGACTTGTTGAAGTATTGGTTTATTAATGACCTTGTTCATTACTGATGCCCTGTTTTCACACATACTGTCTGAGCATAACCACTCCCCACTGTACATAATAAAAGAAAAATTC